ACTACTTATTAGAATAGTTATTGTTAAACTATTGAGAATAAGTTCCTAAGATGGCTCTTGAATAAATGCTTAGTTAGTAAAGTTCATAAATTAATGTTTCACTAAGAAGCTCATAACCATACTTCCTTAGAACGCGAGTTACCGGCAATTGTTACCTACACCAACTCTAAATGTCAAATGTTTCAAAACATTAAAAAACACATCTTCACTGCATCGTTCCAAACTCCACACAAGAATCACCAAGATAAATCACCTCTGATGATATCAAAAATTTGAAGGAAAAAATTGATGATTATTTGGCACAATTAGTTGTTGATCAACTTCCTTTTGCTAATCTTCAAGGTTATACTTCGCAATTCCTCCACCATCAAAGGAAGAAATTTAGATAAAGTATTATAGACCTGATGGTTATCCTGTGGGATGTAAGGAAAGATTCAATCTGCTGATGGAGATGTCGGATTTAATTATTATTTGAACAACCATTTTACTTTTGTTGTATTACCATGTTAGGACCACAAGTTATTGTTGTTGCTGAAGTTAATCCAACTTATTTGCATTGTAAATAACTTCATAAACATCTCCATATCATTTAAAACAAAACAGACTAAAACTGTTGTGTTATAAATTGTGTTACGAGCGAAATTCCTAATGATATCCGACAACAACTTAGCAAAACAAATGAAATATAGAAAATTGGCATAGTTCTTATTTACCAGCCATATAAACTTTGGTAATTTACAAGATACCATTTAGTACCACATTATTACACTCAATTAATGAAACTATTGAGAAGCATGCGTATAGTAGATAATTCAATGATACAACCATAACCAACTCTATTCTCGATAGTGTGATAATCATCTTCCTTACACAATTTACCGACGGAGAGGGCAATGATACCCTAAGACCTGAATAACTGCACAATCACCAAAACACCAGATTACGATTAATGATTCACCCACATCCACAACAACAGTTACCATCAACAATTTTAGTAGCGAATAGTTGTGTTTGGTAGCAAGAATACACTATGTTGGTGGAAATATGACTGCACAACTTACCTTTATGAACCAAATGCATTATGCGTTTGTAAACGGTGTTGGCATTATTACATACTTACGCTATCAAGTAATGGTTGTGATTATTTTTGTTCGCACATCACTTGTGCCCAACAGTATTTTTGAGGCTTAAAGTCGGTGGTTCACTTTTGATGTCATCTTTTCAAAAGTGAGAGCAATATATGGAGCTAAAATGGTCGGCGCAGACCCCCACTTTGTTCTCAATGCCAGTTAGTATTTAACTAGTTCATTGATTGATGGTTTGTTCAAAAATTTTACAAGTTCAATTAAGGTTGACTTGGGTATATTCGAATATATGATTTAACCTTCTTTATAATATTACAATTTTTACTATTAGAATTCTTCCTCTTTATGCTGCTCTCCATTACCATCTTCCTCAATTTCTCCATCAGATTCTTGATGTTTAGACATCTTTCTCTTGGATGGATTTGAAATAGGCGTTTCATCATCTCATACTTGGCCTTTCTTTTCAACTCTTCCAATAATATTCCTTCTCTATTGAAAACATCTCCACGATAAGGACTCCGATTTTTCATCAAGATAATCCTCTTAAAATTCATTAGAAAGTTCTAATAATTTCATCTTGCAATCGAACTGATCTCTTTTCCAATAAAGTATATGTTTCTTTTCAACTTTGAAGGCTACTCACCTTTCTCAACATCTCAACAAACATTAGCTTGAATTCGAAATACAATTGTTGTTGGGTTGAAAAGTTCTTTACTCGAAGCCTCTTTTCCACCTTGTTGATTCTTGGTGGTCTTTGTGTTTTGAGATGATGTCTTTTTAGATGTTGCTGAGGGCTTCTCAGAAGATGATGAAGGCTGAGATAGATTCATATCACTGAGTTAGAAAGCCTTTGTAGCTTCCATCACTTTGAAACGGAGACTACAATAGTCACAAGCTTAATCTATTGGTCTCTAATTCATCACAGAGACAGAGAGATGGTAAAATTGCAGCCATCAATTCAGAGTAAGTATATTGAATAATGATTGAGATCATTTCATACAGATGTCGTATCTCCCTTCACTACATGTTGAAGTGTCATTCCATTCCATTGAAATAGGTTTGTTATTAATTTTTCTCATATTAACCATTAATCATACTTGTTGTTATTGATAAAAGATGTGGAAAATCTACTGGTTATTCACCACTACTATATTTATTCTCAATAATACTATTCTACTTTATGTTTCTATTTGTGGAACTTACTATACCACTTTCTAAATATCCATGGTTTCAAATCTAGTTTCAAATCTATTCATAATTAACAATCTAATTTCAAATCTATTGATGCTCTATAATTAATTAGATTAATAATCTACTCTGTTATATTTACAATGTGTGACATCATTCAGCATGGTTAATATATTTACAAGTTAAAGTATAATTATTACAATAAAGTTTATTTATTTGAATTTCAAAGTTGGTCTTGTGTGAGTACTGTGTGAAAAAAGAAGTGAAAAGTGAGCCTTAAAAGATAACCCTTAACTAATTTAAAGACAGCACCCAACTTTTACTGTCCACTTTATAAAAGTTGAGGAAAAAGTTAGCCCCCAACTAGTTTACACATAACTTTCACACCTAAGAAGTGAAAGTTGGGTGCTAACTAGCCACCAACTTTTAAAAGTTGAATGCCTTATCCACACTATTGGCTACTACTTGGCTTCTGAAAAATAGCTGCAAATAATGTATTCGGGATTATTCAAAATAAACTTGTGGTAAGGAAACCATCTTGTCCATAATTCTCATTGATGAAAGAATTGCAAAGATGTCCCATTGTAATACTTTTAGTACCATTAACTGATTCTCCAATATATTTACAACCATAAATAGATTTTCCAATTACAGTTTGAAAATGCTAACATCCTCTAATTTTAATAATTGGAAACAATCCAAACAACCTTTCTATTAAGCATCAATTTGAACCTTTCCACATCAAGTTGATAGATTTCCTTGCCTGAAATGAACAATACTATAAAAATCTCACCCAACAACAGCATTCTGTTAAAAGGAATAATATTTCAAATAGCAAAAAAATTACTCTAATTGCGTAGTTGCAATTCCAAACAATTAATTGACTGTAAAGGTGACATTGTCAACAGACAATTGTTTTAATTATTAGGAGTAGTAGTAGTATTAGAAAATATTGTAAAGTTGTGCAAGGTAGGTAGGGTGTACTATCTTTAATGATCATTCAAATCAAGTATACAAATCACAAAAGTCAATTTTTATACAAATTGAGAGTATTCTTCAAGTCATTGTTGGAAATTTCATCATCAACCCATTACATCAAAACAAAACCAATATTACTTACTATTAGAATAACTACAAGATGAAATGGTGACTTTACAGTAATTATTACAATAATATTTAATTCAATCCAGTAATGAATTATTTAATTCAATCCACTAATGAATCAAATATTACTCACTCAATACACCCGCATACGTACGTACCACCTTCAACAAGAATTATCCAATTTACAAGTCCAACCTTGTTAAAATTGGAAATTCTCAATAAGATTCGCTTCTAAAAAAGGAAAATTTGAGAAATCATCCCATTTAACTCAATCTGATATTTAATAATTCCTACTATTTCCTTCATAAAAAAGTACAAAATATCATCACAAGCCTAATATTAATAATAACAAAATGAAACAAGAGTATCAACAAGTATTTAATCCTAGGAATGCATCTTCTAATATTAATAAATATAATACTAATAATAATAATAACAAAATGTCATTCATTGATGAAACTAATAATGTAACATTAAAAGTAAAAGTGAATCAACGAAATAATAATATGCATATTAAACAATCAAGATTGAGAAAACCATTACAAAATGATAAATTTCTATTAAATTATTTTGAATTTGATAAACAACAACATTCAAATGATTTAACTGTTTACAAAATTGTTAATATTACAAATAGTAGTACATCATCAGCACCACCATCATCAATAATTCCCAATGTTATTCAACAGTATCATCAAGGCTTGACTGCAATATCACCATCATCATTGGAATCTAATGATTTCATTTCTAATAATTATGGTAATTGTAAAATTAGTAAGAATCATGGTAGAAGAAGATTATCAGTTGATAGTATTGTTACAACTGAGAAAGTTAAAGTTAAATCACCACTCTCTCCTCAAATTGTAAATTATTCTAATAATAATGAATCTAATTCAAGCAATGCTACCACCACCACTAATAGTAGTACTAGTACTAGTTGTAGTAGTAATGATTGTAATATAACTGATAGTAATGATAATTATTATTGGGATTTACTTCTTTCAGAATTACAACAGGAAGAAACCAAAGGCTTGGAGTCATCATCTTCTCATCTTAATACACTTTGTACCACAACAACAACAAGTGAAGTAGACGCGAACAACGTACCATGTGATTGTCTTGCTCAAATATTTTGAGTGTTATCCATGTACAAGTTCTGAAGTTTACATATATGGCATAAAGTGATATCACACTAATAAAATTTCAAGCTTAAAAAAAAATAACGCACTTTCCCATTCTTCTGCATAAAATTGAGTGCCAAGTCACCCAATCCGTTCTTCTAAAACAATCAGGTTACCTAAACATGATGATCATCAACTGCCACAAACAATCAACAACTACACTATCACCATATTATCACCAACAACAACAACATTATCATCAACATTAACAACTATCAACATGTGATGGATAATACATACACATCTAATAATTATTATTAATTTAATAATAATAATAATTAAAATCAACAAGACTTGATGATCAACAACGGTTGTGCATGCATAACATCAACATCATGTTTAACAAACACATTTACATTTGATGTTATGATACACATCTCGAATGTAAATGTACACAACAATATAATCACAATAACAACAACACTACTATTAACATATGATTAATTTTACATCATGATGATTAACACATTTACATCTAGATGTTATCCACATACATCCTTTTTACAATCTAACATCTAATGCATGTAAAATGTGATGTGAATAATGTTGTACATGATGTTGCCGTTATTGAAGTCATTAATGATGAGTTGTGTCGTTGTATTATGTTGATATAAATGGTATTACACATATATGTATTTAACGAAAAAGAACTATATTACTACTTTTTGTGAAATATTCGAACAGTTGTTGTTGTGTTGTGGATATTCGAAAAAATGTTTAAACAACCTGTAGATGCTACTGACAACTTTGGAAATGATCATCATCAACAAGTTAACTTGGAAGGTATAATTTTATTTTTTAAATATTTATATTAATAATTATTATTATCTACATTAAAAAATTTGAAAAATTTGAAAATTATTTAGGATCATCAACATTACCAAATAATGATCAAATTATTGATGCATATAAATTATTGAATAATTTATTATTATT